CTAGCCTAGATTGTGTTCAGAAGTCAAGAACTTCCAGTAGTCCAGCACAACTTCCCTCTTCGCAGACAGGAATAACATGGAGATCTGGGACCAAAGCCCCAGCTCAGAGTGTCCTCCGTGTTGTACACCCCCCTTGACTTTAACACATATCACTAGCATAGGAAGGTGGTCAGGCAGCCAGGAATTCAGAATCCTAGCCCTCTCACTTACTGCAGAGACACAACCAACAACAAGGTACACACATGCATGAAATTACTCAAGGTTAGACACTTCCTCCATCTTGACAAACCCCACAGTTAAATTCAGTCTTCATCTTACAAGACCTCTCAGCAGACTTCTCAGTTCTATATAATGACTCCCTCCTTGAAATACTTGACTCACATGGTCTCCCAAGAGACCATACTCTCCTGATTTCCCTCCCACTTCATTAAATGCTTTTCAGTCTCTTGTGTTGGCTCTTCCTGTACCTGACCTTGAAATGTTGCAATGATCCAGGACTCAGTCCTCAGAGCAGCTCTTATATACCCTCTACCTGGGGGATCTCAGCCTATAAAAAGCTTTAAATATATTATGCTGATGATGTACATCTCTACTCTGACATCTCCTCATGATTTACAAAACTACTACTTGCTATATCTACCTGGTTGTTTAAAAGAGACCTCAAATGTCCAAACCAAGAACTGTTGATTAATCACTCACCCTCCTTGACTACTCTCCAATTCTGCCTGATCTTGGCAAATGGCACCACCATTCATTTGGTTGCTCAAACCAAAATTCCTGGAGTCATTCTTGAATTCTTCCTTTACCTCACACTCCAAATCCAATTAATCAACTAGTTCCATCAACACAATTTTCCAAATGTATCTCTGTAATAGATTCTGTGGTGCACTGCTCACATCTCCCTCAGGACTGAGAGTAGCTAGAAGTACTGGTGATTGACAGCTCTTAATTGAGCCCTTCCCTTTGTGTTGCCCTAGGCAGAAAAGACTCACCTTGCTTGAAGTCACACCCTGGAGGCAGCCAACTTCAGTAAGTGGGGGAGGAGGCGGGGGGGGGGGGTAATAAAGGCCTGGCCTGTTGCCTCAAAGAGGGACAACTCTAAAGAACTATCCCAGATCCACAGTTCCTTGAAATGTCTGAAGCCTCTGTTGCAACTCCATCACAGCTCATCTTCCCCCTCTGTCCAATCCTGCTTCCTCAGCTCTCACAGGTATTATCCCTAGGAGTACTCCCCAGTAAAATCTCTGCACACGAATCTTGAGTATTAGAGGCAGCTTTCATGGAACACAACCTATGACAGCTGGTACCAGAAATGGTCTTAGGAAGCGGATTCCACATGATACACACAGTCACTGGTGGTAGATGGTGAACTGTGATGGGAAGAGAATGCATTGGCTGATGCAGTACCTCAGTTTTTGATAACTTTGGGAGAAATACCAATTATAAGTACTATGGAATTGGATGGATGTTACTGCAGGCCATCAATGCATTGGAAAAAAGGCTGAGAATAATACAGCACCAAAAATGTGGCATAAATATACAAAGGAGTATTATTCAGGCTTAAAAAGGAAAGATTCTGATATCTGCTATAACAGGGATGAACTCTGAGGGTATTATGCTAAGTGAAATAAGCCAGACACAAAAAGACAGATCCTGCATGATTTCACTTACATGAAATACTTAGAGTAGTCAAAATCATAGACAGAAAGTAGAAAGATGGTTGCCAGGGGCTGGGGGGAGGGAGGAATGGGGAGTTATTTTTTAATGGGCATAAAGTTTTCATTTTACCAGATGAAAAGAGTTAAGGAGATAGATGGTTGCACAACATTATGAATCTGCTTAATACCAATGAACTCTATACTTAAAAATGGTTAAAAGAGTAAGTATTATGTTATGTGTATTTTATCACAATAAAATAATTGGGAAAAAATCACAGCCCAAAATAAATAGCACAGATTAGTACTTACAGACGTACTAAGGAATTCAAACGTGGAGGTGTCCATCATTTAATTCACGATTCTGAGTCCTACAAAAGCTAGATGGATCACAGTGGAGGATGACAGTGAACATCTGCTCAACCAAGCAGCAGAGGAGTCAATTGCAGCTATGGATCCAGAGGTGTTATCTTTACTAGAGCAGATTAACACAGCCTCAGGGACATAGAATATGGCCATTGATCTGGTGAATGTGTTGTTTTCCATTACCAAGAAGGAGAACCAGAAACAGTTGGCATTCCCATGGCATAGACAATAACATACATTTAAACCTCCTGCCTTCTGTCACAGAAGGACCTGGTCCATCTACACATTTACTATATTGATGATATCATGTTAATTAGACTAGATGAACAAGAAATAGCAATGAGGGTGTGCATGGGGGGCACAATCTGTTAAGTGTCCGACTCTTGGTTTCGGCTCAGGTTGTGATCTCAGGATCCTGAGATCGAGCCCTGCGTTGTGCTCTGTGCTCAGCGGAGGGACTGCTTGGGACTCTCTCTCCCTCTTCCTCTGCTCCTCAACCTCCACTCTAAAAATAAATAAATAAATCTTTAAAGAATAATAATAATTCTCTTATTAAGAAAAAAAAAAGAAGTAGCAATAGGTTGGAGGCCTTGGTAAGGTAAGGTACATACACTCCAAAAGGTGGGGGATTAAAATAGAGTAAATGAAGATTCAGGGATCTACCACATCAATTAAGTATTTCCAGGACCAGTCTGAAGCATGTCAGGTCAGGACATATCCCTACCACCACCAAAATAAAGGGCAAATGATTGCATCTCATACCACCTAAGAAGGAAACACACACCTGTGGCCTCTTTGAGTTCTGGAGGTAATATATGTCAAAATTAAGAAAAATTCTGTGACCCATTTCTGAGGAACAAGAAAGGTTAACAGCTTTCAATGGGGACCATAGTTGGAAAGAGCTCTTCAGCAGATCCAAGTCATGCAGCAAACAGCCCTGCCTCTTGGGCCACCTGTCCCAATAGACTCTGTGGTATCACAAGCATCAGAGGTAGGAAAAGATGCTGTGTGGGGTTTACAGTGAGCTCCAAAAGGAGAATCTATAGCAGAACTCTCTAACAGTTCCTGGTATGCTATGGGGCCCGGGTAGAAACAGAGTGCTTAAATATGGGACATCAAATGATATACAGCCAGAGTTGCCTATCTTGAGTTGTATTCTGTCAGACTCACCAAGTCATAAGTTTTGGTGATTCCAGCAGCAAACCATATGATGGAACAGTATATCTGAAACCAAGCCCAAGCAGAATCAGAGCACAAGCAAGCCCCACACACAAAAAGCGATGCAGATTTTCACACCCCATCACTGTTATACCATTACCTCTCCCTAAACCCACACTTGTAACTACATGGAGATTCAGTATGACCAGCTGACACAGGACTAAAAAGGATGAGCTCGATTCACAGATGCATTTCTTAGTATGTGAGTGCAAATTGAAAAAGGCCAGTTATGCACTACTCAGCACTACTCAGGAATAATCTGAAAGACAGCAATGAGAGGAAATCTGTCCAGTGAAAAGAACTTCAAGTAGTGTACCTGATCATTCACTTTATGTAAAAAGAGAAGTGGCCAGAGAACAATAAATATAGACTCGTGGACAGTGGTAAATAACTTGGTTAGATGGTCAGTGGCCTGGAAGCAAAAAAGATTGGAAAATCAGAGACAAAGAGGTCTGGGGAATATGTACAAAGATGGAAGTGGACACAAAGTAAAAATATGTTTATATTGTATGGTCACTCCCATGGAAGAGGTATGAAACAACCAAGTAGGCAGAATGACCCAGCCAGATAAAGTCAACCAGACTCTGTCAGCTGACACAATGAACACCAGTGACAACACAGTGGTATCGTAATGGAGTGGTCATGGCGGTGTAGATAGATCAATGGGCCAAACAGCACGGGCTCCCACTCACCAAGTCTAATATAGCTACTGCTGCTGCCAAATGCCCAATCTACCAGCATCAGAGACTAATACTGAGCCACTGACATAACATCATCCCTTCAGAAAACCAACCAACCACTAAGCAGCAAGTTGATTACTCTGGAACTATTCCACCCTGAAAGGTGCAGTGTTTCATCCAGACACATATTTTAGGTACATATTTGCCTTACTTGCCTGAGGAGCCTCAGCCAGTAGGATAATCCAATGATTAAAGAGTGTGTGATCTTTTGACATAAAATTACACATTACATTGCATTGGGCCGAAGGTCTTATTATACAGCAAAGGCGCTGTATAATGACTATAAGATCCACTAGTTCTATCACATACAGGAATCTCCGAACCATGGGAATATTTTGGACTTCTAACACATGCCTCTCACCAGTAGAGAGCTGAAACAAGTGGGGTGACATCTGAGGATTGTTTAGCAGTGATGGAGGGGAAATAGAATAATTTGTTTTCTCTTGAGATCCTGAAATTTTCACCTAACAGTTTTTAAATAATCAAGTCGAGACCAGAGAAAGAAGACATCCCTAATTTAGGCAAAGTACTAAATCAATCAGCTGATCCATGTCAACCCATGGATCAAGGTCTGATTCCCCCTAGACCTTTGGTGTCGGTGTCAGAAAGAGAGCAGCTCTGGGGACCTATCTGTACCTGTTTTTTGTACAAGACCCTGAAGCATGAACCTAGACTGTGCACAACCTGAGAAAAGAGAAGGTCTCTTACTCATGAATTCACAAAGGCTAACCTGGCCCCTGAAATTCTGAACGGGTTCAGTAAATGCTGAGTCAACAGAAACCTACTCAGTATCTCCCCAAAAGCCCAGGAGAAGCCTCTGGTCATTGTGGAATGTGTTCTAAGAGGGCTGAGAACGTGTTTCGCTGGGCTGCATTATTCTGCGCTGCGGGGACTCCCGCAAGCCAACCCCACCCTCACAACACCGGTCTGTGAAAGCAGCTCTGCAAAGAGCAAGTATGGCTTCACTCTCTACCCAACAACTGCCCCACGCTCTCGGTGCCACATTCCCTTGGTCACTCACATTCTCAGAGTTCAGACCAAATGAGGAGCCCCAGTTTTTCAGCCCCTCCTGGAGCTCCACGATGTCCACCAACCCGTTCCCGCCGCGGTCCAGGTCTTGGAAGAGGATCTTGTAGCTGAGGTAGTCATCGTCTTCCTGGCAGGCCACGGCGGGCAGCACGAAGCCCCGGAGCCAGCGCAGCATGGCCCCCCCCCCCCCCCCCCCCCCCCCCCGGCCGCGGCGGCGTGGCAGCTCGGCCGCCTCTTCTCTGGGTCCCGGCGACGGCGTCCCGCCCCTCCGGCTGCGCCACCTGCCGCCGCCCCGACGACGACGACGCCGGGCAGCTCGAGGCTGCAGGTGGCCCAGGCAACAAACCGACGGAGCCTCGGGGACGGTTGGAGCCGCGCCGCTGGGCTACGGGGCGCCGCTGGGAGAAACGCCGGAGGCCCGCCTCGTGGGAAACCGGGCCCAGGCCCCCCCGGAGGGCCGGCGCGCACCGGAAGTTGGAAGTTGAGGCGCCAAACGCGGCGGCAACCTGCATCCAGGACGGTCCCTGGCTTACCCGTTCTCCAGGGGGCGTCGGAAGAGCATCCGGGTGTTTCCCAGGGCAAACTGAGCGGCTGCGACAGGTGAGTTGCTCTGACCTGCGCCTCAGACGGGAGCATCCCGTGCCCCGGTGCCACCCCTCCTCTCGGGGGACGTCTGAAGAGGGCTCCAGTCTCTCCCCTACCGGCCCTCTCCCAGGGACCTTGGGGTTGTTTCCGGGAGTCCCCCTCTTCCTCACCTCCCACTTTCTCCCAGACCCACTGCAGCCTCGCCACTGCCCCCACTAGCCACCTTACAGAACTCTTTTGTCACAAAATCCAAAGGACACTTTAATATCTTTGTCTTATTTAATGCTGGTCCCGTTTAGACACTGCTGACCACACCTTTTTCCTTTGTCTTGTGGGACACCAGACATTGCTGCCAGGCCTCAGCCTCTTTTACAGGCTCCCACAAAGGAGCCTGAAACCTTCTAAAATTGAGGGTAGACAGGGTTAAGGGATTATGTAAAAACCTAGTTCTGTAATTTGTTGCACTGAAACTTTGTGTCCTCAATCTCTGGTCACATCTTTTGAAAGTCAGAGGCACAGTCTAATGACAGGCCCAGACCGGTGTTTTAAAAAATATTTTTTCTTGGAAAATTCCAAGTCTTGGACCACAGAATAAAATTAGCTTATTTCTTTTTTTTTAAGATTTTATTTATTTATGAGAGAGAGAATGAGATAGAGAGCATGAGAGGGGAGAAGGTCAGAGGGAGAAGCAGACTCCCTGCTGAGCAGGGAGCCCTAATGCGGGACTCGATCCCGGGACTCCAGGATCATGACCTGAGCCGAAGGCAGTCGCTTAACCAACTGAGCCACCCAAGCGCCCAAATTAGCTTATTCCTTAAAATAATATTAGGTATACTTTAAGATGTAATTTATTTCTTATAAATTTTATACTTCATTTTGTTAAATGCTAGATAAAAATAAGAACATTAAACCTACTCATATAGAAGCTCACCATCTAGTGTGCTCTGGTTCTATAAACAAATAAAACTCAAACTTAATTGCTATAATAAAGATGTGATCAAATGTCATAAAATATGTATTTTTAAATGAATGAGTTTTAGGAATTAATAATAAACAGAAAGCTATTAATAAAACTTTTAGAAAATATTGCAAGTGCTGAGCATTTATAAATATAAAAGACTTTTCTTTAAAAGATAAATAACTTTCAAAAGCAAATATAGTAACATATTGTGAAGCTTATAACATAGAAGTAAAATGTATAACAGCAGTAGTAAAAAAGATGGGAGAGAGGACATGAAGTCTGCTAAAAGATTCTTGCATTATATGTGAAGTAGTATACATTTTAAAATGTATGCAGGAAATCCTAGAGCAACCATTAAAAAAAACAACAACATGGAATTGTAGCTAATAAAACAACAAAAAGAGATAAAATAGAGTACTAAAAAATATTGTATTGACTCAAAAGAATGTAAGAGAAAAAAAGGAAAAAGAACAGGACAAACAAAACAAATAAGATGGTAGACTTAAAGTTAACCATATAGATAATTACATTAAACATAATATTCTATGCAGTCCAATTAAAAGGCAGAACAAGGAAGACCTAACTGTATACTTTCTACAAAAGTGAAATATAAAGATATATAGGTTGAAAGTGAAAGAGTGGGTACGGAAATACCATGTAAACACTAATTATGAGGAATCTGGGGTAGCTATATTAATAATCAGCCAAGGAAGACTTCAAGACAAGGAAGACATTTTATATGTTAGGAGGGTTGATTCAACCAGATGGCATAACAACCATAATGTGTATGCACATAATAACAAAGCTTTAAAATATATGAAGCAAAAATGGATAGACTGTGTGCAAAGAGAAATAAATAGATCCACAACTAGAGTCAGAGATGTCCATATCTTTCTCACAGCAATTGATAAAATAAGGAAACAAAGTCTGTAAGGATATAAAGACTTCAATGACATGATCAACTAATTGACATTAATAGAACAGTATACCCATCAACAGCAGAATACCCATTATTTTTACCTGCACATGTAAAATTCACTAACAAAGATCATATCCTGGGCCACAAAACAAGTCAATAAACTTTAAATGCCTGAAATCAGACAGATTATGTTCTCTGACCACAGGACAATTAAATTGGAAATCAATCAGCAAAAGATGTTGGGAAGTACCTAAATACTTGGAAATTAAACAATATATTTTTAAATAACACATGAATCAAGAAATCACAGGGAAATTGGAAAATGTAGAATGCAGCTAAAATAGTGCCTAGAATTAACTTTAGATGTTTGTATCAGAAAACAAGAAAATTTAAAATCCATGATCTAAGGTTTTACCTTAAGAAACTAGAAAAAGAAGAGCAAATTAATGCCAAATAAGTAGAAAGAAGGATTTTAAGTAGGCTTGAAATCAAAGAAATAAAAGACAATAAAGAAAATTAGTAAAACCAAAAGTTTTTTCTTTGAAAAACTTAATTATATTCATAAACCTATAACTAGACCAATCATGAAAAAAGAAAATACAAACTACCAATATCAAGGAGACATCACTACAAATTCTACGCATGCTAAAATAATAATAAGAGAACATTATGGACACTTTTATGTCAAAAGCTTTGACAACTTAGATAAAGTCTTTTCCCTGAAAGACTTATTATCAAAGCTGACAAAAGAATAAACAGTTTATCTATGTAAAACTAACATGAACATTCATACTTCGTGGTGAAAGACTAAATGTTTTCTCCCACTAAGATGGGAAATAAGGCAGGAATGTCTCTTCTCACTCCTTCTATTGAGTATTATACCAGATGTCCTAGCCAGTGCAATAAGATAAGAAAAGAAAAAGGGAAAGGCATACATACTGCCAAGAGGTAAGTTCAACTTTATTTATTCTTAGATGACATGATCATTTACATAAAAAATCCTAAGGAATCTACAAAAAAGCTACTTGAATTGATAAGTGAATTTAGCAAGGTTGCCAGAGATAAGGTCAATATAAAAATTAGTTTATTTCTATGTATTAATAATAATTGGAAAATAAAATTTAATACCATTTATAATAGCATCAAAAACTGAAATACCTAATGATAATTACATATGTGCAATATCTGACACTAAAAAGTGAAAATATTGTTGAAGGAAATTAAAGACAACTTAAATAAATGGAGAGCTATGTCATCTTAATAGATTGGAACTCAATATTGTTAAGAGTCCATTCTCTTCAATTTGATCTAAAGATGAAATGTAATCCCAATCTAAGTGCTAGCAGACGTTTTCATACAAACTGACAAGCTGATTCTAAAATTTATATGGAGGGGCGCCTGGGTGACTCAGTCAGTTAAGCATCCAACTCTTGATTTTGGCTCAGGTCATAATCTCAGGGTCGTGAAATTGAGCCCCAGGCTCCATGCTTAAGACTCTCTCTCCCTCTCCCTCTCCCTCTGCCCCTCCCTGCCCTCACTCACATGTACACACACTCTCTCTGTCTCTCTCTAAAAATAAATGAATAAACAAATAAAATTTATATGGAAATGCAAAAGATGTTGAGTAGCTAAAACAATTTTGAAAAAAGGTAAGTTTCAGAGTCGAGATAAATAAACCGACACAATTGATTTTCAACAAAGTGTAATTCAATAGAGAAAAGATAGTCTTTTCAACAAACAATGCTGGAACAACAGGCTATCCATAAGAAAAAAATGTGAAACTTTGTGTCTTGAAAAGACACTGTTAAGAAAATAGGCAAGAAGGGGTGCTGGGTGGCTCAGTTCGTTAAGTGTCTGCCTTCAGTTCAGATCATGATCTCCAGCTCCTAGGATTGAGCCCCACATGCCCCCCCCCACTCAGCAGGGAGTCAGCTTCTCTCTCTCCCTCTGCCCCTTCCCCCTACTCATTCTCTCTCTCTCTCAAATAAATACATAAAATCTTTTTTTAAAAAAGGAAAATAGGCAAGAGAAAGTCTGAGAGGAAAATGTTTTAGTACATAACTCTGACAAGGACTTGTATCCACAATACTAAAGAACACTTAAAATAAAATGTCACAAAGACAACGCAATTTTTAAAAAATGGGCAAAAGAGGGGCACCTGGGTGGCTCAGTCGTTTATCATCTGCCTTTGGCTCAGGTCATGATCCCAGGGTCCTGGGATCGAGCCCCGCATCAGGCTCCCTGCTCAGCGGGAAGCCTGCTTCTCCCTCTCCCACTCCCCCTGCTTGTGTTCCCTCTCTCGCTGTCTCTCTGTCAAATAAATAAATAAAATCTTAAAAAAAAATGGGCAAAAGATCTGAACAGACATTTCACAAAAGAAAATATCTGAGCGACCAATAAGCCCATGAAAAGTTGCTCAAAGGGGCGCCTGGGTGGCTCAGTTGGTTGAGCAACTGCCTTTAGCTCAGGTCATGGTCCTGGAGTCCTGGGATTGAGCCCCACGTCAGGCTCCCTGCTCAGCGGGGAGTCTGCTTCTCCCTCTGACCCTACCCTCTCTTGTGCTCTCTTTCTCATTCTCTCTCTCTCAAATAAATAAATAAAATCTTTTTAAAATTAAAAAAAAAATAGGGGACTGAAAATATACTTTAAAAAAAAAGTTGCTCAAAATCTTTACTTATTACAGAAATGTGAATTAAAACCACAAGATACC